GAGCGTAGTGTCACAAAGGGAATTCATTGCTTCTTAGCAGTTTTGGCTCTAAATCCCAAGGCTGGGAACTTTTTATAAGTAATAGTAACACCATCTTACCACTGCAAAAATCCTTTGTAAGGCTTCATCATAACTCACTTGATAGCTTGAATAAATAGTACATTGTTTTTCAGGCAAAGAGAGCTGTTTTGAGCGTATAGTGTCCAGATTTGGCACTAACATAACTTATGTTGTGATTGGAGATGGCCGAGATGAGGAACATGCAGCTAATCAGGTAACTTCGCTCTGAACCCTTATCTCATTTATCTTCCAGGGAAAGAAAGTTGCTTTGAACGAATAATGCAAAGGTTTGGCAGAAAAGTAGTATATGTTGTAATTGGGGATGGTGTAGAAGAAGAACAGGCAGCAAAAAAGGTAACCTGTCTTCTGAAATGTTGGTGTGATACATAGCTACTAATGCAAGCCTTTCTGTTTGCATTCCTGTGTCAGTGTTGCACAGAATGACAAATAATTTCAGTCCACAGATGCAAGGCCACAAGAGCATGATGTGATCAAAACTTAGAGTAAAACGAACCATTTGGATTCTGGCATTTGCTTCACTTTGCTTTGGGGGGGGGGGGGGGGGGCAAAACCAACCAACCAACCAAAAAACTCAAAAACCTGCAAAATTATTTTTAAAATAGATTTAAAAAATGTTGCAGCAAAAATGTCTGACTAGTTTCAAGCAGATGAAATATAAACAGCAGAGAGAGAGACAGGGCTATGACATGATGGTTGGGTCATGTTTTTCTTTAAATGCTGAATTGGGGAATGTTTCAAGGGAAGTGTTAGAGAATGAGGAAAAACATCTAAAGGACAGATAACATAGATGAAGATCCGTAGTGTACTGGAGAAAATATGATGAATATATAATTTGCTTCTAGAAAGATATATTTGCAAAAGGAAAAAGAACACAACATAGAGATCGTATGCCAAATCTGTGTTTCTGAAAAATAACTGTTTCCTTAGAAAAATTCTGTTTTCTCATTATAATAATTCAAGTCCAATTTCACCAGAAAACTTTTCAATATTCAGAAACAGATCAAACTTGTACCATACTCTCCAGTATAACCTCTGGTAGTGTGCAGAAACTGAATTTTTTTGCTTCACAATGTCTGTACAGGACAAATGATGTAATTATCATTGTGCCAGGAGTAGCAAAATAAAGAACCCTCTTGGCACTGTAGTTGGAATGGAAGCAAAATAAAAATTACTAAAATGCTTATTCCAAATGGTTCCTTAATATAGGTACAGTAGTGGTGATGGGTCTTTTATAATTTGTGCTAAACAATGGTGGTTGGATTGTGTGCTTTCTGATTTGGCATGCTTTTTTCTTAACGTTGGCTATATTGCATGGATCGATGCAGAATTTAGAGAGATGGATGAATATAGCACATTACAAATAGATCTGAACACAATGTGGAAGTAATGGGTTTTTTTCTATTCTGATGAATTGTTGAAGGAGAATGATGCATATATCTGCATCTCTCACACACACTGTTGCTTTCTGCAGCATAAATTATGTTTTCCTAAACCAGAAATGTTATTTTCATATCCAAAGAGATTTCTTTTTCCCCCTAGATGTAGAAAAAAATGTAATTCAACTCTGTTTCAAACTGTTGAGTGAGAAGCCTCTTTTAATGGAAGGTTTATGGCCCTTTAAATAATCATTCAATATTTTGCAAAGTCAACTAAGTGGAGCAGAAAAGGATTCCCTATTAATGCTCCTCTGTATAGGTTTGCACACCAACAAGAAGGAAGTAGCCCTTACCAAATAATAGGCTTTTTCCAAAGAAACTATTAAGAAAGACTATCTAAGTATTTTAACTTCACTTGAGCTATTAAGCTCAGATCTATTTTTGTCTGATTTTTGTCAGTACTTTGCTAGCAAAAATCAGTCCAGAAACCCAGTGGTACAAAATACATGGTGGTTACCTAACTAGCCTTGTGTGTCATGTACCGCCCTGTGTCACGGTGTTCATCTTTCCTGACCTTTTCCCTCCTCTAACAAACACAGCACAACATGCCTTTCTGGAGGATATCCAGTCATTCGGACCTCTTGGCTCTCCATCAAGCACTGGAACTAGAGTATTTGTAACTGTGTTCTAAAGTTGGCGATCTTTTTTTATATATATATATATTTCAAGTACACTGAATTTTTATGTGTGATTCAATGCCTCTGGCTTTACACATATGAATTGTCTTAAGAAGGGAAGAAATATTTGGAATTAAAAATTCCAAATTGAAGAATTCAGATTGCTGAATGAAGTTAAAACGTTAGTGCTACGTAAGGAAGCTCTATGGTCTTATATATGCAACGTTTTTAAATGAATTAAAACTGTGGAGGTTGCTGGTACACACCAAGTGAGCCCTGACAGGAGTGGACAAAGGACTCGAACTGGCAAAGCACCAAAACGCGTTTTCCAGCCAACAAGGTGGTGTTCAACAACATTCCTCAAAATGGGATATATTCTCAGCACTGAGGTTTGAACCAGACTTTAGCCTACCTAACCCAGAAAATCTGAATTGGAATGCACTCAGACTGTATAATGACAATCCTGTCTAGACCTGTAATTTGTGTAAATTATTGATGAAAATAATTTACTGTTACTTTATTAGCAGCTGATTTTGGAAGTGGATGCAATTTTTCTTTCTTTTTTGGGGGGGCAGGGGAGGGGCAGGGTTATATAATATTGTCTCTTTTATAAGTTTGGCAAACAGAATGTGCATAATGATGTGTTGTGCCTTAAAGAGAAGACTGTGTTTGTGTGTTATAATGTAATTTTGGTTAAAAACTATGTAGATAAACAAAAAAGCCTTTGTGATAATTTTTGACATGACCAAATTTGAAATTGAAAGAAGTCAGAGCAAGACTGCACCAAAGCATTTAAGTATTTGTTGCAGTAAGAAAAAAAAAAAATAAAGGAAAGTTTGTGTTTTTATTGGATTCTGAATAATTCCACTGATTGTTTAAGGAAAGTTAAGAGTATGTCGGGAGGTTGATACTGGGGACCGCTACCTTGAAAGGTAAAAAAACCTGTTTAACACCTTTGGCATCATTTCTTGATTCTCTGACAAGAGAACTGAGAGCCATATTCATTAATTACTGAGTCCACTGAAAGCATTACAGTGAGTGCATCTGCTGTATATAAAACAACAGAGTTCCACCCAGCAGACAAAGTGTGCAGGTGGCATTACTGGTGGTGAAAATGAGGAGTTAAGCCCAGATGGGGAATAAAACACAAGTTCATTAGGAATGAAAAATTACTAAAGAAGCTCTTGCCAGTCAGATGTGCAAATGATATTACATTTGGCATATTCAGGATCAACATAAGCTTCTGAAATTGCTGGTGACATTAGCCATTTCAGGAGCCATTTCAGTCCACTTCAGTAAAAATAACAGCATTTTGGTAGATTTTCCATTCTGTTCAGCATTTCCATGTATTTTGTTTTGGGTCAGCATGATTTTCTTCACCTATTTTTGATTGCACAACAATATTACACAAGGACAACCATAAATGTTTTTGAATCAGAAATTTCAATAGTATGTCACGCACCTGAGCACAGTATAAGGAGGTGGATATTGAGAAATATATCACCTTAACCTTCATAATTTGGGTTAAAGTTATGGTCCATGCAGTGATAATACTCTTGCAAGTTTTGAACATGCTACCTTTCAGCTTTGAAACAAGAACAAGGTCCATATTGCACCCAAATCCTTAGTGCTCCACATGCAGCTTGAGCACTCTGAAACAGCAAGTGGTTCATCTCTCATGGCAGAACATGGAAACTGCTTGATATTTAGCAATGTATGTGGAGACACCTGAGGTTGCCTGTGCACTGACTGCGCGAAGACGTATATGGTAGAGAAGATGTAAAATGCAAACACCAGGATGCCTGCACAAGCACAGTAGCACTGAGGTGAAAATTTTCCCTCTCTGTGCTGTGAAGCCATCATATGCTGTAGTTACCAGGTAGTAACTTTGTTGATTTAAGTTTTGTTGAGGTTATATGAAGGTTAGTTGGTAGGTGAAAGCCTGAAGCCACTAAAAGTCCAAGGCAAAACTCCTCTATACGTTCATAAAAATGGGATTTCTTTGCTGTGTTGGAATTGGACATACAACTTCACCACACAACAAACTAACAATACATTGTTATCACTGGGCACTTTAAAGCCATTACATGAGAGTAGCCACATATGAAATCACTATAGACTAGCTATTTGGGTGATAGATTTGTGTGTCCAAAAAGTAAAAGTGATGCATACCTTCTTTACATTTTCAGTACCTGTCTAGTCAGATTTGGCCTGGAAGTACGTTCTTCATAAAAAGCTGTAGTATCAGCTTTTTGTAGTTCTTCAGGTGAGAAAAAGAAGCTGTTTCTACTGGAATAGTAAAATAGGAATAGGAAAAAGTTCAAAGCCCTTCTCAGGTTCAAGCATTGCATGAGCATCTCAATGTAAAAGACATTATAGAATAATAAATTGGTATGGTGAACTACCTTTTTCTCTTTTTTTTGTGACAAGTCATAGTGTTCTTTAAATGCATGAAGCAATATTATTTCTCAAGTTATTTGTTCAGCTTTTCAGTGTTCTTTTCCTGATCAGATGTAAGAAAAAAAAAGTAGCCCAGCAATAGCTGTTGGTTCTTATAAGAGGTTTGCAGTGCCTTCATTGGAGTTGTGCTTAGCTTTCTGTGGAAGATAAGGCTCAATTAATATACTGGACTTTTAGAGAGGAGACAGAGGCAAAATGAGGGAAGTTTTATGAAGCATGACAAAGTTCTGTGTGCTATCATAGCACAAGTTATTTATAAAAATAAGTAATCTACAAAAATGCACATCCAAAGAAAAAATCCAAGGATTTAGCTCAAAAGCCTTTACAATACTAAAATTATAAAACAAAATTTCAGAGCATGAATACTCTCTTGCTAAGCAAAAATTAATATATATCTTTAAATAAAAGTGTGTAGTACATGCCTGCCTTGTAGAGAGAAATTACTCTGATACATTTTCCTGCATGAATACAGAGGAAAAAAATAACCAAGGCAGAGACATAGTCATGCCAGACTGTTCCAGATGGGCATAAGTAGATTAAACTGAAGGCTGGTCACTTTGACATTGAATGCATTTTAATTCAAAAGCATATTAATCAGAAACTACCTTCCCTTCAGCCTCTCCTCAACAATCAAGATTGAGCACAAGGTCAGGACTGCAAGAATTTTGGGCAGGTGAAGTATAGAATATAATGCCTTTTGCTGATACTCTAGCAGTTCTCAGTACAGAACCTGAATGTTCATTAGGCATTTGAGTAGTCAGCTTGCAGAATACAAATATTGTGTGATTGCCATCACAAGATAGTATCTTAAATACATATAACTCAGTGCAGTTCAGTAAAAGAGGACAGAAAGAAACTAAAAAATACGCTTATTTTTAGATGCTTGTGGAGATGGTGCACAAAAATATAAATGGCAGCAAGGTCATAGATCTGTTTTCATTTGTATTCAGGATGAGCAGCAGTGTTTGCATCTAAAGCAGATGCAGAGACTGTTACAGTGCAAGCATTGACAAGAGAGATGAGGCCAAATCAAAGTCCTATATACAAGCACACCTCATCTTGGGGCAGACGAAATCCTGCATCCCATCAGAATTGCAGAGTTTATGGAGCATATAGACTTGACCCATGATAGGAAGACTAGGTTTTAGCTGTGAGGTTGTATCCAGATCCAGGGTTTCAGTTAAAAGTCATCTCTGCTTTATAGGATTGACACCAGGCATATGCTGTAAATGAATATGGTATTTAGTATCTCTGAAGAGGAGCTGAAGTGACATAAGCCAAAATCCCAGCACTAGCAGCATTTTTGAGATTTGAAGTCAAGGGTCTCTGTCATGTATTAGCAGATCATAGTTTATTAGGGCCTACCTAATTTAAGAAAATGTAAATTAAAATTAAAAGCTTGTAAAATTATGTACATCTTTACTATTTCTCAATAAATACACTTGGAAATGTCATTTTCTGCATTATACGATGTCATAAGTTGTTTGGTTTGTGGCTGACACCCTTCATACACAATGTCTCTTACAGGAACTGAGTGTGAACTTGGACTCTGATGTCTGCACTGCTTTTGTGCTTCATGCCTGGAGCAACTCTGAGCCAGTATATGGGGTCTGGTACAGACTGGTTCACCTGTGTACTGTTTGTAGGGTGCAGACTGTAGAGAGAACCTCCCCTTGCTCTGTACCAAGGCTTCCTCATCAAGAGCACTTGGTGCCTTGCTCCACATGCAGCTCAAGCTACAACTAGCACCTTTGTAGTGTGTCCTTGGGAAAAAATACAGAACAAACCGATCTGATGTTCTAGACACACAATACCTTCATTTAAACTCCCTTGCCAGTTCACTTACTAATGTTATCATTCTTATGGACTAATGTTATCATTCTCATGGTTCAGGAGACAGACTGGGCTACCGAGGGGCAAGCAGCCTTTCCAGTTGAAGATCATCCCATGAAACTTTGTAAATGCCTTTGGGAACCATATTTCATGCCTTAATGTGGTACTGACCTTTGTTTGAAGCAAGCAGTCCCTCCACAGTCTGCTTGCACAGCATTTAAAGCCAAAGTGGGATAGCAGGACTGTCAGCACACTTAGATGTGACATTATGATCTTCAGAACTACACAGCAAGTGGCAGAGCCTTGGTAACCATAGTGTTTCAGTCTCAAGAAGCAGCTTGTAAGTAGTGGATTTATTTCCCAAGAATTAGATTAAAGCATGTCTGTTACAAACATATGTGTTCTGTATGTACATCTGCCTTCTCAGTTTTAGGAACAAAAAGGAAGATTTATCAAAAATAGTGTGGACAAAATATAAAGAAATCCCATGTTCTGAGCAGACAGACCCACAGTAAACAGTAGGTTTACAATGTGTCTCCCAAATAGGTTTGCATGTAACTCTGGAGAAGAGCAATTCAGTCCCATTTCAGAAGTGTGAGATAAAAGGTATCAGAAAATGTTTTTTCTCCCCGCTATAACTGTGAGGGATTTCAGAACTTTTCACTTTTCATATAAGGGTAAAAAACGAGATACTGAGGGCTTTTATTTAA